AGTTTTGCTATTTGTTTATTTTTGAAAAAAAATTTACTTTTTTTTCTTCTTATTTCATCACCAGACTTCTTATGCGCTTCTATGCCTAATAAATTAGGATAACTAAACAACAACAATGTTCTTTATAAAGAAGATTTCACCTTTTTTATGTTGTTTTTGTTGTTTATCCTTCAACGATTTTAGTTTATTATCAGAAAAAATTCCCGAAATTTGCTGCTCCTGTCATTTAGATTTACGAAAACCGAAAAATAAACTGACATAAAAATTTGGTTCTTCCCTAAGAATATGTTTTCTTTACTGCTGCTGGCACTGAAAATTTAAAATAATTGTTTGTAGAGGCAGCGAAGTTGTCTAAAATGAACAATACATAGCTTTAGCCGTCCGTCATTTGAGCATCAAATACAAATCGTCTTCACTACAAAAGGCACTGAGGTACTCGAACATCGGTATTCCATTGAGAAGCCTCCATTCTTGCGATCGCTCTCAGTCGGTTGCATTCTGCCGGTCGTCTGCTTTACCAGTGCCAAGACCTCTAATTTCTCGTTTGTTCACCTGAAGTTCTCCATTAATCTACCGCTTTTAATCAACTTTACCAGTCTACTTTCAAAGCCTACCTAACATTTAACAGTATGGGCAGTTTTAGGTAAATTCTCGTTTCTTCTTTAATCAAAGCTTTTTTATTGTCTTAATTATTAATTAATTTATAAACACTCTGTATCAGATACCCACTGTTTCCCAAATTCTTTTGTTCGCTGTACTTAAAAGACAGATACTTTATACTGTTTTCAGTTTTTCAAAAGTAAACGGCTATAATCACGACCAAAAAAGTTGCCAATGCATTCAAGATGACTTTCAAAAGATACTTTTCTAAAACTTAGGCCTTTTTGCTGTGTTTTAACTCTGTTTAAATTATTGTTGTTTCATTAGACGAGAGTATACTTGGAGAAGTTTCAATGCATTCATCATCGTACACGGTTGACCAATTTAAGCATTCCTTGATCAGGCTTCACAAAATCGAATTATTCGTGTTCTTAAAACCTTTAAAGGTTTTTTGTCGTTCACTAAATCGATATCCAAAGCACTAAAAATTGCAAATTTAAAATCATTGAACTACAAATGTTTATCATCTGATTCTAAGAGCATTTCGAAGTGGACATCTGATGCTAACATAAAAAATTTGTTTACATTAGCAGACAGCCAGTAGTCTTATTCGTTTTGAACAATCACGGCACGCTTTTCCTCTTCATAAGAATTTATTGGTTTCTCTTAGTGTTTGCTTAATCTATTTCTTTATTCAAGATTTTTTTACTTTTTCTTTTCACTTTCTATTTATGTAGCCTTACAACTCTATCATTTTTCTAAAATTTAACTGTATCATCAAAAGAACAGCTTTGTTGTTGTTAAAAAGTTTTTAAAATTTGTTGAAAACACTTAAATGCTTAAACAAGTGTACAAAAACTTGGCAGTTCTCAACGCGATACTAATTTTGTTCAATCGTCAACAAACAGATTGGCTTCAAAGTTTCATTGTTATCATACATTGTTTCTGTACAAACATGAAAAGTTAGCTAGATCAACCATTACAAATATTTTTGAAAATTAAGAAATGAATAAAGAACTAGTCAATCATACAATTTTTCATTGTTTTTTTTTTTTCAGCGATGTGTGTGTCTTCACCGTGGTATCCATTTGGACTGTCGTCCTTGCCAGTGCATCACCAAAACCTTGGGACTATCAACCAACTACAAGAGGTTTTCTCTAAGACATCTAAATTTTATCTTATAAAAGCAACCACAGTTAAAATAGCTTTATATTTTTTACAAAAAGTTATAGACAGAAAGTAATCAAATATAATAAACATGGGGAAATCATAAAACATGCTCAACTCCTTACTCAATTGTTTTCAATAAACGAAAAATTCATTAAACTTCAATCAGTTTGACATTCATAAGAATACATAATATTCCATCTCACTCTTTTATTTTGCACGAAGCAACCTTGTTTTCTTATAGTTTTTGAGAGAAATTAAGAGAGTAGCAACGCTTATGTCATGGTTCGGTTGTTTTAAATGGTACCGCTTTATGATCTACTGATACTACTATAAAAGTCACAATGGCTTGGAGTGAGTGTAAAATGTTATATTCCCTTACCTTTGCAGATCCATCATACTCAGCCTGGTACCAAGTGCCGAAACCAGGCCCTGGACCGTATCCGTCACCAAGCGCTTATGAAAGACCACCACCGAGCTTTGAGAGGGGGTATCATGGATACGGAGTTCCACGTCACGGTGGATACAATCCCGAAGGAAGCATGATGCCGCAGATGCCGAGAAAAACACCTGTAAGCGGTTACTATCTACACCATCAACAGTCAATGGTACCTTCAGCACCAGACGTAAGTCAATTAGATCAGCTCGAGAAGTTCTGGTCTGAAATCAAATTTATTCTTAAAGTTCAGAGTTAACCTTGAGGGGAATACATATTCGTAGAAACCATTCGTAGAAACAAAAAATTTTTGCTTTGATCAACTTCTATCGCGCAGAAAATAAATATTTTTAAAAAAAACATAATTGTCAGCCCTTCGAGTGAAAAACATATAAGGCTCTCTTAATTTCTTACCATTAAAGATTTTTTTGCCTTATTCTTTGCTCAATACAACCGTAGTCCAACCAATCTGTGGCCAGTCATTTTAAACACTCGTTAACCATCATATATTCCTCTCTAAATTGTCTCTTATTCTAACTTATTTTTTATTTCCTTCCAAAAAATATTTATTTTCTTCAAAATTCTCCAAAAAAGATTTTGAAACGCCGCTTTATTAAAGGTATCTTGACAAATTGTCACTGCCTTCATCTGTCTATTATAAATAGGCAGACACAACATATTACCCTCATCTCATTATTCCTCATCACTTTGAATCACCTTATTCATTTACTTTAAAACTCCTAAACAAAAATCCAGTTGTCTTTTTTTTAGATGTTTTTGGTATCTTTCTTCATTGGTTTTTGACTGTTTGGTTTAGAGTATATATTTCACTGACAAGTTTACGAAAAAACATTTAGCAGAAACGAAATAAGACACCGTTGACATATGCTAAAGGTAGCGTCTTTTTTGAATCGAAAATTTTAATTCACAGCCCTTTCACCATTTGAGAAAAGTGATAAATGTATAATTTCCCACCTGTTTTTTTGAGCGACCTCGCCTAATTCAGAAACTAAATACTTAATTTTGGCGAGGTTTATTGTTTAGAAAGTTTTCAACAAATTATGATAGACCTTTCTTAAGATCAGCTTCATTCAGCAGCCTCGTATAAACATATGAAGAACTTTTACTAAATTTTTGTAGTACAAAGTTATGCTGCCATTCTAATTGCTCAGGCACAATTTATATCGGCTGTCAAACGATATCATCGTCTGCTGCTGAAGAAGAAAAGAGTGATAACGATGTCAACCGCAAAGGTGACGCGGGCAACAACGGTACACCAAAGTACACGTAAACCGCGAACATCCACAAGGCTCACCAAAGTTACGCTGCCAACAAAAATTCGTCGTATAACAACCACGACGGCAACTCTAGCAATCACACCGGAGAAAACCACACCACATACGCTTCAAACACCTTCTGTCACAGAATCCGGAGTTGGCGCTATAACATCAATTACTTCAACAGTTGCTCCTCCTCCAAGTCGACTGATATGTAAACATCGATCAAATGATAAACACGAAAAAGAATATGGGGAGAAGCGTAGAGCAAAACTGAGTAACTGGAACAAAATGAGAATTTGGAGGAAGTTATCTCCAACAAAAATTGTGTCACCGATGGACGAAGATGTATCACCCGCCTGGAAATACTGGGTTAGAAATCATCAATTAGCACAACACCGCACTGTAATGAAATCACCTCTAATCTTCACCACATCTATCGGCATTTCACAAGCTCAAAAAAATTTTTGTTATACGTGACAAACACGAACATCACAATTAACTGTGTTACTCAAAAAACTTAAGCAAGTAAATAATTTGACATGAAAAAACAGTTTTTCCGAACAGTTCTACACAGTATGTAACTTTTTATTTACCTTACTTAATTGATTTATATAATTTCAGTAGTCAAGCTTTTCTTCTGCTTTATTTTCTTTTCTTGCTCAACATTAAAACGTAAAAGCTAACAGTATTGTAGAAGGCAACATTGCTCAACAGGTTTAAATGCTAACGCGGTTAGCTCTACTGTACACGCAAGTGCTGCATATTCCATATATAT